TCCAAGAAAAGGCATGTATGCCTCTTCTCCGGCCTAGGTCACTCACAGTTGGCTTGGAAATAAACCACATTAATTATTAATTATTCATTTTACAGTTGGTTATTTTTCTGTTGACATAATCCATTCTGAGTTTTTTGTTTTTGTTTTTTGCCAGAGAGCATGTGTGCTCACCCGGTGGGGGCAGGAGGGGAGAGCCCTCTAGTGAATCATGGTCACAACCCTAGTACCTAGTACCTTCTCCTTCATTTCTTCATCTTTTAAGGATTTGGGGCACACACATACATATGCCTGTTATGCTTCTCAAACCACTGGATTCAGGACTTGAACTATGGAGTCAGTCTTGTGGGATCAGGCTGCCCTAACCAGTAGGCCATGTAGCCAGCCCCTTCCATTAATTTTCATAAAGGCTATAAGGTCTATGTCATTTTTTTATATGTTGATATCCAAGGTTAATGTTATAAAATAGATTGTTTTTCTATTCTGTTTTAAAATGTATTTTGTTTATTTATTTATTTTTCATTTGCCAGAGAATTCATGTGCTTGCTAGAGAGACAAAGAGTCAGATGGGGCCAGCAGGTGGCATGGTGGTTAAGGGCCCTAGACTCTCACATGGCCAACTGCTGTTTGAGTCCTAGAGCTGGTTGCTTGCTTTCTCACTTTCTCTCTTTCTTTCTCTCTCTCTCTCTGGTCAAATTAAAACAAATAAATAAATAAATAAATTTCAATAAAATCATTCTTTAAAAAAATAAATAAAAGAGTCAGAGACAGAGGATAAAAGCACCCACCAGTGAGGCATGGTCATGCCACAGTTCCTTCTCATTTTTTAATCCTGTTGAGATTTTGGACACACACACGAATATAGTATATTTTTTAAGCCACCAGTTCCTGGACTTGAATCACACAATTGGCCATGTGGGATCTGATTCCCTTAACCACTAGGCCCATGGGGCTGGCCCTAGATTACTTTTCTTGATTATAGTTAACATATGCTTATAATAAAAATGTTCTAGGGCCAGCAGGTGGCCTAGAAGTTAAGGTGCTAGAATCCACATGGCTAACTGTATGGGTCCCAGACCTGGAGGCTTGAAAATCGCACTAGAGCATGTGTATTGGTGCCCAAGATCCCAAGGGGGGAGGGATTGTAGCCTGGCCAACCCCCATAGGCGGGGTGTCTTCTCACTTCTCTTTCTGTGTGTCTCTCTCTGTCTCTGGTGAGCACCCACACCTATACCAAAACTTTTAAAAAAAATTTTTTAAGTCAGACAAACATAAAAAATAAAATCAGAATCATAAAATCATGAGTATTAACACCTTGCTGAATTATCAATTAATTAATTAGTCCTTGTTATATGTATTTTAACATTTTTAACCTTGTATTTTTTGTTTGAACATTGTGTGATCATTTTCCTTATGTAATTAATAATCTTTGTAGAAACCATTTTTCTTTTTTGAGAGGTTTTTGCTATAGGGCACGTGCGCTTGCCAGAAAGACAGAGAGAGACAGAGAGACAGAAAGTGAGAAATCACCCCCCGGGGGGATGGCCACGCCGCCATCACTTCTCCTCCATTCTCCTCTCAAGATCTTGGGCACGCACACGCACGTACCCAGCGTGAGTTTAAGCCACCGGGTCCAGGACTCAAACCACAGTCAACTACATGGGAGTCCAGTGACATAGCCATTACGCTAACTGCAGGTCCCGTAGAAACCATTTTTATTGTTGCATTTCTTCTGAGCAAATCATGTGGTACCAATTACCTAATTTTCCTATTGTTGGCATTTCTTATTCATTTTATTTTATTTTTTAGGTTTTTGCCATAGGGCGTGTGCATTCACCTAAGAGAGATAGAGAGAGGGAGACTGAAAAATCACTCCCCAGAGGGGATGGCTGCCAAAATCTCTTCTCCTCTCTTCTCTTGGGACTGTGGCATGCGGGCATAAACAGCTGGTGTGATTTTCAAGCCACTGGGTCCAGGACTTGAACCACAGTCAGCCATGTGGGAGTCCAATGCCTTCATCACACTACCTGCTAGCCCCTTTATTTCTAACTTTTCTGATAATGCTGTGATGAATATCTTTGGGTAGAAACTCTCCCCACCCAAGTCCATCCGTGTTTTAAGTTTTCTCCTTAGAATAGTGCCATATTAGTAAATTTATGAAATTGTAGCTGGGGGTGATGTTAGTGCTCTTAATGCATAATATCACATTATTTTTTCTAGGAATTTGTTCTAATTTACAGTCCCCTCAGTAATGGATGAGTGATGATTTTCATTGACTTCTCCCCACTACTTAAACCTGCCATTTAAAAATATTTGGCTAATTTTGGAAGTAAAAATTATATTTTATCATTGTTGTAATTGCCATTCACTGGCTACTAATGAGGTTGAACAAATGTTAATCAATGACATTTATTAGTCACTCGTGGTATTTTTGTTTGTAAGTTATATGTTCATAAACTTGCTCATTTAAGTCACTATTTTATCCAAAGTACTGAATATTTGTTTGTTTGTTTGTTTTCAGGAAAACTGGAATCGCTTACATAAAAGCTATATCGTACCACCAGACTCCAAAAGGATTTTTATCCTCAGTTACCGCAGAAATGATAGACCCTTTCGCAATAGAAGACGCAAATGAGAGCTCTTGTTTATCCAGTTCCCTTTCCATTTATTCCGAAACAAGCTTCCATTATAAACTGACTATCAATTCAACAGGTGAGTATACTGCTATACTGGTACATTTTTGATGGCTAGAAAAGAAATTTAAAATTATCTTTTAAGAAGACTTTTAAAAGCTCATTTATAGCTCATTTATAGAGCTATGACTTCAAATTTTAGTTCAATTGACAACCTACCAAAGGTACACATGCTTAAGTTCCTGAATAAACTTTATTTTCTAATGTAAAAAAAAACCTAGCTGTAACTATGTCAACCTGCAATAATGAAGTCTGACCCAATCCTGTCAAACCAGCCACTTACTCAAACTAAAGGATAAGCAGGGGCCACCCAGGAGCCAAGACTTCAGAAGACCGTAATCAGTGCTCTGGAATGGCAGAGCTAGGGAAAATGGGAAAGAAGAGGGGTTCCAGAAGTCATTTCCCCTTAAGAATCCCCAGCATCAGTTTATAGAAACAGCATAGGTTTCTTTTTTTACTTTTCATGTTTCACATGTCACACATTTTAGTGACATAGCAACAGAAAAGGAATGACAATGAACAATATGCAGTCTGTGGTAATTTAGGGTACTGAACAAGAGCTGTGATTTTTCTTTCTTTTTCTTTAGAGAGACTTTTGCTATAGAGCACATGCACTCTTCAGAGACACACAGAGAGAGAGAGAGTGAAAACTCACCCCCCAGGGCAAATGGCCACATCATAATCCCTTCTCTTCCATTCTCCTCTGGGGATTTTGGGCACACACACACACACATGTGCCAGGAGTGAGTTTCAAGGCTCCAGATCCAGGACTTGAACCATGGTTGACTATCTGAGAGTCTAGTTCCTTAACCACTACACCACCTGCTGGCTGCTTGTCAGTGAATTCTTGATTAAATAACGTCCTTGAGCAACTACTTCAGACAGTTGAGTAGGGAACATAACAGAGACTTCATACACTTACCTCTCTAAGGCTGGTTTTTACCTAAACCTCCTCCTCATTCTTACATAGCTTTTATTCTCTTCTCAAGGACTTATGTTGGTTAATATTTTGTAGCACAAGCCTCATTAAGTTTATGTGACTACAGTCTTTCACACAACAATCTAGAATAAATAAGTTAGTTTACATGTCCAAAAGCTCCAGCCAGTCTATAAGAGCTTCTTCTAAATTTCCCAATAGTTTTAAGATCATAGTAAGCATAGTTAATATTCCAGGTTCACTCAACTCTCCAGGCCTAATTAATTTTGAATGCCTTACTAATGTTATTTTTTTCTCAACGGCATTGATATTTCAAAAGCAATGCCTATCATTTATTTCTTTGAAGTTATTTTGTCTTAAAAAGGGCTCAGAAGAAGAGAGAGAAAATAAGTTGATGCAGATTTTGCCTACACAATAAAATATTTTTGAATCACTGTTATATAGAATATTTCAAAGAATCCTATTTCAAAGGATTATCTGGTACACACATTTTAAAAATGTGTTGGGCCAGCCCCATAGCCTAGTAGTTAAGAGACCTGGATCCCACATGGCCAACTGCAGTTCAAATCCCAACCCTGGGGCTTAAAAAAACACATTGAAAGTGTGCACATGTATCTAAAACCTCAACAGGATGGAGAAGTGGTGGAGAAGGGATTTGGGTGTGACCATGCCCCATTGCAGGGGTGTTCACTCCCTCTCGCTCTCTATTTCTTGCTAGCGAGCACACATATACTCTGGGAAATAAAACTGTAAAATAAAAAATAAAACAAAAACCCAAATAATGGATTTCTTAGTTACATCCACCAGTATGCTATTTTATTTTATACTGCCTCTTTTCTGTTTTATCTCCAGATGCTAAATCCTCATTTCAAGAGACAGACATAGAAAAGACTGTGGTGATTCCTGGTCACAGCAGCTTCTTGATCCTAAGAATTGTAGATGCTAAGAATGCTTTGGCTATTGCCACCATGCCTAGAATAGTACCCATTAATATGACCTTTACGGAGGGCTCCTGGTTCTTATACAACTTTGGGCAAAGGAATGGTCGAACGTGGACTATCCATGCAAAACCATGCAACTATTTGTTGCAACATAGTGATGAACATCCAGCCCTCAATATGGTAAAATACATTGATCTGGGGAACTCTCAAGATTTAAAAATTAAGGTTATACCTAATTCAGAGGGTAAGTGTGTTTCTCTTGGAAAGTATCAAAAGGAAATGTTCATGCTTTTCTTGAATATGAAATATACTCTTTGATCTTTATTTTTTGGTTCCCAAAATGGCTGATATTCTACTGATAATTGTGTTAGCTTCTAATTACTCTGTGCTGGACTATTAAATGTTTTTTTTTGGACCTTATTTTGTTTAATGTTTATGATAACCCTGAAAAATCTACATTAAAATTCTCATTTTATGAACGAGGAAAATGAGGTTAAGTTACCATCCCAATTTACATAGAATTTTAGTTTAGATTTTTGCTGTTCTCTGAAACAAAACCTTTTAATTACTTTGGTATTGTCATATTTATTTGAGGCATTTATTATAAACCAAAAAATTTTGAGGTTTGCTTAGTTTC